CTGCTTACCCACCAAGTCTTGTCCGAAGTCGCAACAAGCCGAAGTAATGTGGTTGAACAATATGCCATCACAAATTCTGGTAATCTTTAAACCTTCTCCATTCAAGGGTCCGAATCCTGATGTTGAGGTGAGGGGTACCCTTTGCAACGGATATGGACTTCGAAGAATGGCTCAAACATAGCTTATTCAAACTCTTTTTCTACCTCAAAGGGTATAAGATGCAGCGGATTCAATGTGCATTTTCTGAACCTCTTCTCGGTCACCATAAAATTTGGAATAACTCCTTATACCCATTTTGAGACATGTTGCAACTTAGTAACAAGAAGGTACGCCCCTCTCACTACCTTACAAAGTAAGTCGTCCGAAACTCTACACTACTCAAAGGGATAGCAGAGACAGATAGAAGGCAGCTTTCATGGTATCACATGGGCTTTATCAGCTCCGGACAATGCCCTGTTGGCTCTGCAACGCAGCAGCCACATTCCAAAGCCGTATACAAGCGGCTCTGATTGTACTATTCCTAAAACATTGTGTAATAAACATGAACGGCGTACTTGGCTTTGGTGGTGTCAGGGAGTGTGATACCAATTAGTGTGAGATCACCTACGAGACGCAGGTTCGGCATTGAGCCCAAAGAAATGTCAGCTTCTACAATGCCCAGTCGCATTAGGCAGGTTGGGGTTAAATAAAGGCCACACAAAGTACGTGAGAACCTTTGCGGAGGCCAACAAATCAGACTGTCAGGCATTTAATAAGAGGCTCCGTTAAAATTCTAAGTCTGCTTCATAGATTTCTGAAGAAGTAGGTGAGAAAGGCTAGTTCAAAAAACTGGAAAAAATGCCCTGCTCCTGAATGATACCAGCATTGCTGCATTTTAAACCATTTATCTCGGACACTGTTAATAATGACACATCTGTGGACAGCATACGATTGCAAAAGGACTGAAAAGATCAGGAAAGTCGGTTACACAAGTGCCGAGCCTTGCAATAGGTGAGATAGAAAAGTGCTACCAGTATAATCAGACGTTCCATACATTTCCTGATAGCGGGGAACCTCAGATTGTGGTCAAAACTAATCCTCAAAGACCAGGTTTCACTATTCCAAGGTTAGACCAGAGCGCTCAAGCGCCTACCGGTCCCAGGATCATTGGTAGAAATAGTTGTCCATAAGTAACAAGAGCATTTTCACCAAGTAGGGGAAAAAGGTGCTTGCTGCATCGAGCAAAAGGCTCTGGTGGCCTTCGTTTGCCCGAGATGTGCTTGATTTCGGTCGGATTTGGGTTACTTGCAGCAGACTCAAAAGGTTTCACCTCACGGCAACTACGCCATTCCAGCCTGTCTGCAGGTTTCCCAGGGGAGGGAGTGGGTATTGGCATCGTGGGTCCTCTATCAACCACAGAAAGGGGAAATCATTATATCCTCGATATGTTAGACTACTTCAGGAAAGTTGTTAAAGCAGAGCCCATGAAGATAAGACACTAAAACAGTCGCACCTGTTTTCTTGAATCGATGGATTTGTCAACGCGGAGTTCCTTAAATGATGTACGGTGGTCAAGGCGCCACCTTCAAGAGCTAGCTTTTTAAGGAACAGGGCCATATTCTCGAAGTTTTTGAGACACGCTAAACATCTGATTATCCGTGGGGTAATGGACTGGTAGAAATAACAAATGGCACCTAAATCGAACTGTTCAAGGCTTTGGTCAAAGGCCCCTCAACCGCTTGGTTGGGATTTATCCTTGTCCTGGTGGCTCCTTGCGTATAGCGCTGTAGATCATGCGTATAATAACATTTTACCCCTTTACGATACTCACAGGCCGCGAAACTGAAGCATCTGCTATGTTCTCACTGGACATAAAAGTATCGGCCCAAATGGCTCTTAAGTTTCTCTTGGGGCCATGAGAAGAGAAGAAACCAATTTCCAACTATCGTATGCCAGAAAAGATATTGCCATAAGAGTAGTCAACCCCACGTTTACTGAGGAGACTTAGTGGCGCCTTCCAAACTATTTCACCTCCCTGAGTACATCGGAAATTCTACTACCCTTAGCACAAAGATGCGCATCGAGTGGTGAGCGTTACTTCCCCAACAAATTACTTGGTCTGCAACTGACGGTTTCGTGCATAACCAATCGCATATCCTCGTAATATAATGCGCCCTAATGGAAGAAGACCACTGGGTTGATAAGAAGATAAAGTATTCACCCAAATTGAAGCAAGAAGTTCACCTGAAACAGCGTATGAAGAAACAAGCTCCAAAGCAAACACCAGAGCTAGTGCTCAGGAAGATGATGGGGTTGCGTAATTCATGATCGTTCGAATGAAGCTTTTAGGTGACAAACTATCAGTTTATTTCATTCTTGTGGCAGTGCGGATGTTACCGACCCTCAAGGAGGAAAAACAGCGAATTTTAATGCATTTAAGCCCTATCCATGCCACTCAGACATAATATATCGCCATTTTACTCAATCTATTTCATTCAAGGATCCAATGTTTTAGGCAAGGGCAGTGTGGGAAATGAAACCATTGGAGTAATTTGACCATCTCATTTGCCTTATAAGTGGTAGGTCCCACGCCGTTTACTAATTTATGAAAATAAAAGTTCTTTTCCAGCTACCGTACAAGGCATTACAAAGATGATGAAATATTATCATTATTAAAGTGTCCAAAGTTGAGGGTCGAAGCTTCAATAGACCCATTTTAAAAATACTCAATTTGGCGTAAACTGGTACATTAAGGCGCCATAAAATAAAGCAAATAATACAGGTTTCATTCTTTGGTTGCTTATTTAACTCCCAATTTTGGTAGAAACCACTCAAGTGCTCCACCATAGCAACTGCCGGGTGGGCTGGCCTTGGGACCATGCCAACGACTCCAATCCATTCTCCCTGTGGAATGCATTTAACCCTTGTACCATGTCTTCCCTCGCCTTGAAGGAGGTGTCGGAGGCTACAGTAGCCCTATTAATGGCAGGGAAAAGATTAATTTTAACTTCATTATTCTGGAACGATCCGTTTTCCGGTGGCGTTGATCTTGCAGTTATTTGTAACAAAACCGGTCATTTGCCACCAGACAAATCCAGCAAACTGGAATACCTGGCTATCATTTGTGATTACCTCCTACACAAAAAAATATAAAGCTTATGTGTAAACTACAGTTTCCGGTTGAAAAACGCATTATCATTCTGATCGTGGGCTAGAGCCAGTAACAAATTGGTTGTTTAGTTGCAAATTGACCCAGTTGAACACAGCCCGATAGCCTCTAATATGGCCTCTCGTAATGACGGTATCCAGCTTCTTCTACAAGCTGAAAAGAAGGCAGCGGACAAGGTTTCTGAAGCTAAAAGGCGTAAGTTAGTGTAAATTGTCCGCAAATAGACACATCGTGCAACATGTCGAGTGAGTTCATATCCGCTTTGATAAAATGCTCGTTTACTCAAATGTTTGACACCGTGTTTTCCTAAATGTTTCCCCTCTTTCTTTCAGGAAAGGTGAAAAGACTTCAGGAGGCCAAGGCAGAGGCCGCGACTGAAATCGGAATTGAGAAGAAGGAACGTGAGCGACAGTACAAATTACGCGAGGATGAGGTAGCCTAGCACTTGAATCCTTTTAACCTAGGAAAGCAATGTCCACAATTCTCAGTAAAATTCTGGGAGTTTATGTTAGTAAACTCTGACTTTAAGTGTCAAATTATATCATCCCCTTGGATTTTAAATCCCCCCTGCCTCCTCTGTGTCATCTACCACCTCTCTTCGATTCCTGTTGTTCTGATCGCCATTTTTTGGTTAAATGGATGCTAACCTAGGTTTTCGGTCGACGCAGTAATACTGAGGCCGAAATTGCTGCTGTGACACAGAAGACCCTTGATATGCAGGCCGAGTCAGTGCGGAGGAACAGGGACGTCACCATCCGATTGCTATTGGAACAAGTTCTTGCCGTAGACCCGCAGGTTCACATCAATTACCGCCCCCAACAGAAAGCCCAGTAAACAGCTCTCGCCGACTCGTCGGAAAGTAACAGCTACACCCCACTTTATGACTGTTATCTTGTGGTAATTTTTTCGAATACACATTTACTGACCTGATTTCTATTAGCATCTCGGAGACCCACAGAAGTTGTCTTTCCGGCGCAGCATACCATCCCACCATATCGCATACCGTAGTGATTGACAATCTCTACAGGGGTTGAAATGTCATGGGAGCAGCCCTAAATACGGGCGGACCTTACTAACCACGGGTTCCTGTTTGATGCGCACTTGAGTAACGAACAGTTTGAACCGCCTTGAAATAATAAGGATAGCTTATAAAAGCCATGATATGACAACCTGAGGACTGACGCACGGGGTTCGTCTAATTCCAAAGTTAAAAAGCTTTTACAAAAAAAAAAACAGTTAAAAGGCGTTATAATAAGTGGGTGACACGACGACGACAATGAGGTCTAGGGTTTAAGTGGGGGGTTTTGGGAACTCGAGGGGACGCCGGCGACGCAACCTGCGCACCGCTAATTCCCCTGCCGGCTGCACGACGCCCGGCCCGGGTGACACGGCGTCCGGATTTCCAACACTCCAATAACCATCGGGAGTCGATGGGAGAGCGACAGCGGCGTTACCAATGCTGTGCTGATGAGACTCTGGTCCGCGTAAACACTTTTCAATGTCTTCTCGTGAATACCTAACGGTCTGGCGGACCTGAAAATGATCGAATCGACTGCCAGTATGCACAACAGTCGCCCATGTTGCTTTGCTTATGTAAGGATAGAGAACCTTTGCATAAACAGTACTGCATATATCAGATACAAAATCCAAATGAATTGTTGCAGACACCATATGTGGATTTGCGTTTACGCATTTAGAAACACGAGTCTGACATGCACAATGGGTAATGGTGGAGTTACTGACCTGAGGTACGCCCGATGTGGCCGCCATTGGTTCAGGTACATCGGGGTCGCCAACGTCGCTGAAGCAAAACATCACACATCAAGCGTTGGAACACTTCCCCCGCGGTGGAAATGTAAGAAAAAGCGGCCTGTAATATTTCCCACAAAATTATAACCCATGACCGGAGATGTTACAATGCCACGAGGTACATTCCCAACTGTCTCAGGCATAAATGAACCTGAGACATTTTAAAAATGCTAATTTACCAAGGCCAAACAAAGAATTACTTATTATTCGTCTACAATATCTTTACATTGTACCAGACAGCATAGATTCTTAATGCAAATAATCGAACTCACTTATTCGACTGATAGTCTTGAGACTCATTCAATTGAGTTTCGATGTTCTAAGAGGGGAAAAAGTTGGTTTAGTAACTAGTAGTGAAAACATAACTAGCAGTCCATTACTTATGGTAATATTAAAAATATCATACCCTTTCACGGGTAGGAGAGCGCCCCACGGAAGGCAAGACATCTACTGACGGTTTCTTCGACATTCTTCTAGTGATCCTGGTCGAATCTTAAGCAAAAGCGTTGCAGCTATATTCACTGAATTAAAAGCGATGTCATAGTTACCATTTAAAATAATTATGGCTAAATCGTAGATGCAACCTGAAAGAAATGGCGCTTCAAAGCGGAAGTCGAAACTACGGATATCTGCCACCACAGTAAGTGCTTAGAAAGGGTCACCCACAGGCTGCGTCATCGATTCAAGGACAAGCGCTTCAAACTACCTCCGATTGACAAACCATCATCATGGTAGCTTTAAGTCTAACGAGGGCGAAAACGAAAAGCACAGAAAGGCGTGTTGTTCTGGGCATCTTAGTTACTAACTCCAGGATTGCCTCTACTAAAACCCGCTTAATACTCCAGTATAGCAAAAGAAGTAGCCATTACAGTCCAAATGGTTTTGCTATAATGAAACCAATGGTATTAGTTTTTATGGACATGTCCATTGACTAAAAACATCTCACAATCCAATCAATTAGCCTGTGATACGATTTAGCGCAGCCAGTTCTCCTAAACTGCTGAAAAACGCAGCATATATTCGTGACGCCGACTCAGGCGAAAAAAACCGGAACGTCATGTACCAAACTGGCACATTGTTAATGTATTCAAGCTCAATTAGCTGAAACTGTTCCTAAATAGGGCAATTTTAGTCCGATGACAGGGGGGATAGAGTGGTGGTAAGAGTAGGCGACCAAACAGTGTCACAGGCTTACATGCATCAGGAGGCGGTGGAGGAGGCGGCAGCATCAAGGACTTTGCAGGAGGAGCACAAGAAGGAACGTCAGTGGCCAGGGCTACAGCGGAGATTGAGGGAAAGGTCAAGTCGGCCCCAGTCGCATCGCTCAGCATATCGGTTGCAACGATGGGTTTAGGCCTGCCTTTCGGAACCTCCACCTCCCGTGACTGCGGTTGGTAATGACGACATGTGCGTTTGTGCGCCCGGCGCGAGGAATGGACCTTTTGCGCGCCGTTTTTGAATTTGAACCTGTAACCAAATATGTTCATTTCATGCAGGACGTAATCCCAAAACTATACTAACAGTGCTCTTGAATCAAATTTCGTTAGAAAAGCAGCTAAAAGGATGTAAAAAATGCATTTGTCAGATATGATATCAAATTATTTAAGGTTATATAATTAGGAATTCCTGGTGCTCATAGGATCAGAGCATCACCTCAGTGTCCAACGTGTCAAGTGGCACTTTAATCGTGTTTAGAACTTTCATTTGTTGAAAAGTGAGTTGAGACCTAGGTGGACAATTAATGAAGCGTCACATAATACGGAATAGCAATTTTGGATGTGACACACCTTCGAAGCGGTATAAAAAACACCTTAAGCAAGTGAAGAAAATAAATCGATTCTACAAATATGAAAAAAATGGACGCCTAAATTCAAGCATTTACAAAACCTGATTTTGGTCGCCTTTGCGATATGGATGTTCAATACGTAATGAATGTACAATCAACCCTCTTTGACACGCATAAGATAAACGTTCAGCAAAAAAGTTGAGCAAACCGAAACCTCCCGAAAGGGAGCAGCTAGTGCTGCTTTTGTGAAGAGTGACTCCCTACTTTAACCATTCAAACAACTTGGGAAGTTAACATTAAAGAGTGAAAACGGATAGTTGGATGAATACTGTCAGTCAACGCACGATCATGTCAGACAAACACCTCTGCGCCATCCATCGCGGGCACAACCATTGAGACAGCTGTGAAAAATGAATTTTATGCCACTATTCCAACTCAATACTGGAGCTCCATCTGAGAGGGCAATTTTAACAGTGGCCCAGGAGCTCGTGCACAAAATAACATCACATTCAAGACTAAAGCTAAAATTTAGCGACCTTACAATCTGCAGCGTGAAAATTACAGTGGAATAAACATACTGTTTCGATCGTATAGGAGGCAGAGGAGCAATAGTTGATGGCTCATAATTGGCCAAATCCAGATGATTTACCGCTCTACGAAGGGCCAGAGAGGCATCAAACAACTGAGAGGGAGGACTGAATGTTGCCAGTCCGATAGGACGGTGGGAAACCAGGTCACTGTCCTTTCCATCATGCTGAGAGTCATCGACTGAAGTAACGTGTTCAGGTTTAATATCCACAAATTGATCGAGTGAATTATCAACCGTGGTGCCATCTATCAGTGTTTTTGTTGATTGTGAATTTTCGTTGGCTAAAAGCGTATCGAACGCTATAAATAAGTGGCATCAACTTGAAAATAAAAGTAGCTATTGCGAAGGATAAGTATGTCTAGCAGTGCTTTTACTAAGTAAAACATAAAAGTACCTTCGATTTCAGCTAACATAAAATCATAAAAAATCACCAGGGGGAGAGAAATCGTCCTGCGTTTCAGCAACGAGAATGTTTGATCCTTCGTTTGTCTCTTTCGATTTCGACCTATTAAGGTTGACAGCCAACTGACCATTCGTGGTTGCAAGACAGAGACGCTTCTCCGACGGTTGGCGATGCAAAAAAGCAGACGTGGCCCCCGGGGGAGTTAGATCATTTGCCGATGACTCCAATGACGAAGAGATTGATAACTGAAGAAGCACACATTTGGTCGCATCTTAGTATTAATGCCTCTTAAATTGGGGGCTTAGACTAGTGCAGAAAGAAAAGTTGAAGACGGGGTACATACATTGAATCTTGTTCGTTTCCTAGGATTGTTTAATTCAGTTGGAATCTTATCTGCCTGAATTTCCGGAGCCACAACTTCACAGTAGCATTTTTTGCAGAAAGTCTTGGTCATATGCAGACTCTTCAACTGACGCCCTAGACACAATATTTCAATTCAATAAAATTACGCAAGCCAAGTATTTCCAACTCTTTTCCCTCGATCATACAATTGCACTTCTCCAGTTCTCTATAATGTGTAAATAAAGGAAAGTAACCTACTTAAGCAAATCAGCCTTTTCTAAATTGACACGGTTCAAACCTGATTCAAAATCTGAAATAGTTGACATGAAGTAACTGAAAACATGCCTGACCGGAGTCGACTGATCAGTTTACGTATGTCTACAACGCAAAAGCAAATCTAGATTAACTATGTTCACAGGGTATAGGTAAGAACTTCAATACATGTTTAAGGGATTCAAACAAGACACTGAGGATAATGGCGTATAATAAGTGATAACTAACTGTTAATCACGTTAGTGCATTCCTTCCAGTGCTTTTGACGAAGTTCCACAAGGGCAGCTATGACAGATGTCTCAAACGGCTGTAGAAGCCCATTAGTTTCGACATCATCCCACTCCATTCTCGAGATAGACGAATGCCCTGAAAGACCAAAACGCTGTACACTTCCGATAAACTAAAACAAATGATGCACAATGAAAAGACATTTTAAAGCAATAAGTAAAAAGTTTCTAAGACCCTTATTTTGTTTTTAAAAACGAATATTTTAGCACATGCATGGACAAAGTTATAAATCGATTTGGTGATACCTCAAACTTCAAGACTGTGTCGCACGTGATCACGTAACCCAATTGACGCGCCCAATCTCCTCCCCCCCCCCCCCGTCGGAGAAATAGGTGACTTGAGCAACCTTTGCCCCCAAATGCTGCACATGCCTAACTAGCACAGCCAAGATTCGGCCCTGCCCCCGCTGACCCGTCGCCTCTGCCCGCCACCAGAAACTCCTACCGGTTCCATGGGCTCAGAACCCTTACCTACGAGACCATAGACGCCAACCCCCAATAAGGCTCTCACGAGTTAACTACCAACAACTCAGCAATGGTTACGTTCCCAAAACGCCTCCTTTAGAGAGGAAGTAGGCAATCGGCTCGGGTCCCGCGATAAAAGAGTGGGCGGAATGGCCTAGTGTCCCAATCCCCTGCACCTGTGCTTTTCTCGTTGACTCCAACTGATAAATATGTCCCAATTAAATCAACCCCTCCGTTCACAGGATATGAAGACCAGAGAAGAGGAGGTAAACGAGGATCGCGCTACACACGCATCTCCATACTGTGTGCTAGAAATACACCAAATATCATACATCTACGTTAAAACCCTACTCAAAATCTGACCATGCAGCAGTAACTAAAGAATGAGAACTTCAGTGGAAAGGACAGAATGAGTAAGGACTACCAATCCGAGTTCAAGGCACCAAATGCAGCGGAGCATCTGCGGGAAAGCCATAAATGCATTTTATCGCTGCGATGATGAAAACGGAAACGATCATTCCAAAAAATAATGACATCGTGAACGTCCAGACGAAGTTCTAAAGTTTAATTAAAAAAGTTGTAGGAATGGGGAGTAATAATACATGTAATACTCAAAACTTGGAAAAAACTGCGAGGAAATGAGTGCCATTTCAATCCTTATTGTGGAGATAATAGTCACCCAAATGAAAATCATAGAAGAAACGCTGCGCATATTTTTAGTAAAAGGACGCTGCTGCTTATCCAGCTCATCCATCGAACTGCTTTTATTACACACGTTTAGTACCACTACTACACCCTACACGCCGCAATGAGAACTGGAAAATTGCTGAGCTGATAGAAAATAGCTTCTATTAAAGCATTTGTTAGACAGAATAAAGCTATTAAGTAGGTTATTAATCCCACAGATTAAACAAATCGACACTTTCAGTCCCACCATACTTGGAAACAAGTCATGAAGTCACTTAAGGGACTAATCGAAGTTTAGATAAATGTTTTTGTCAGTGCACTATTAGTGAGTCGCATGCAAGCCCTTTTGCCTACATAGTGCTTACCTTATAATCGGAAATAACAGAATGCTGCAGTAATCATAAATCTCGCAAAGAGAATGCCATTAACACCATCTCACATACAACGTGGTAAAAGAGGCTCATAGGTGCTTGTATAACTACAGCCTCAATGTGGACAAAAGAGGTAGGAACAAAAGTGTTTTACCAAGAAGCATGCATAAAAAACCGTACATTTACCAAGAAGCATATCAGGTGGGAATACGGAAGTGAATAACATACTTCCACTTGCTTATTTTTATTTTTCTTGTCTGTACTGGTTTTCATGCGCACGACCTGATCCACTTGTCTTCTACGTTGATTATCGCCTGCGAAAGTAAAAATAACGGAAATGAATGGACTCCCCGTTATAGAAATGAATAAACTGACTGGAAAAATACATCATGCAAAATAAACAGACAGACTAGTGGGTTAGAAGTGCGAAATCAGGAGAGTGTTGCATTAAAAACGACGACCTCAAAATATAATGCTCTTCTAGGTAATTGAGCCGGAACTTTTACCTGAGGGTTAGTTAACGGTGAGCTGTGAACTCTCAAAAACCCCATAGAATTGTGCGGCAAATCCCTGCGCAAAAACCACATTTTTTGTCGAAAGACAAAGTACAAACAAAAGCCGAACAGTTCTTGGTAAGGTTTGTGGCAAGAAGTTTACCGAACAGTAGAATATTTGCATAAATGAGTCGATGGCATTAAGATGAATATTCAAGGAATCCTCATGAGTAAAATAATGCACCTAGTAGACAAATCTCCCCCCTCACCCATCCTTGAATTGTAAATGATCAAAATCAAGAGCTTTTCCGAAAAATGAAACAAGGTGCAAGCAACCGAAAATGCTAAGTGAAGAGCTGTTTTTGTAATCTAACGAAACTCACCGATGGCACGACGAAAGTGATCGATCGGAAGCTGGCTTGAGGAGTTTTTGCGACCCATGGAGCTCTTTGCAGCCAATTGGAAGGACGAACATAAAAGTAAACCTAGTGATTAACCTACATTTCAAAACTACTTTATTACCAACGCATGGGCAAGTACAAAACCGGTACCCTATAGCAGTACCACTTTCTTAGAAGCATTTGGACATTACATTTAGCAAAACCAAGTCCCCGAGGAACTAAAATATGAAGCTTACTTTTAAAACAAGTAGTATCGAAGAAAAAGTGACGAATCTGGATTTGGAATGGTGTTATGCAAAATCACTAGAACTGCATTTCAGACCATTAAGGGCACCCTTCCCGATATTATCACCAAACAGAACGATACGAGACTAGTAAAAGCAAATGTGTACATCCATCCGAAACAGCAAACCTAAAACATGATAAAACGAACTCTAACCATGCCCCATGACAGGTGCCGTAGATCCTCTCATATTAGCAATAGGGTTTCGGGCTGAGTGGAAAACCTTCCATGAAACCCACCTTTATTCATACCCAAGCCAGTTAAAAGTAAAAAACCAACCTCACAAACGAGCTTGGTGTCATACAGACTTGCTGCAAGGGTTTAAGGTCATCTGAAGATCAATATCTGCTTTTGTGACTCCATGGCCCTTCCTTAATGTGGCAATATTTGCAATATTGCAGTTGTTGGTGAAACTTTTCAATTAAGACCCACTACTTTTGTGCATGGAATTCAAAAATCTTATCCATCACGAATAATCAAGCAGATATTGTTGATAATCTAAGGTCACATTCGGTTTGGAGGGTTAGTCGTTTTTTTGGTAGGTGTTCATGGTCGGGGCAGATGGCTCTGAGAAGTGCTACTTATGAGTACTCTCCACGTGCACAACCTTTAGAAGATGTAGAGTACCCTCTTACGGTGCAGTACTGTGGAGGTTAGCCCAAATCAATAAATATGTGATTTCTAGAATGTACACTGCCTATTGAGTATTGTGAATTTTCCAGTGATCCAGCAAAATGTAAGGCATGGCTTGAGAAGAACCTCCCTGAAATATTTGAAAAAATGAATTCTGTGGAACAGCTAGCTGATGAAGGTAGTTCAAAGAAGAAATCGCGTCAAAGTCGAGGTGGAAAAGGGTCGGGTCCTAAAAAACCTTCCGAACAAAAGGTGTCCATCTCTCGTGCTACGAGGGGCAAGAACAAGTTCACAACAAGTGTTATCGGCTTGGACACATATGGTTTGCATATGATTTTGATATGTTTTGTGTAGAAACGCTGTCGGCGCTTATCCTGTTTTGTTCATAAACCCCTCACCTTTTTTCGCTGCTTTTATATTTCTCCTTATTTCTCTCGCATTCAGGAATTGATTTGAAACAAGCTGCAAAATTTTTTGGACAGAGATTCGCCACCGGCAGTTCTGCTAACAACTCCGGAGAAATCGTTATTCAGGGCGATGTTAAGTTTGAGCTCATGGAGCTGATTCCCAAAAAATGGAAAGAGGTAGGCCAAATAACTCCCTTCAAAACTTGAATTCGCACTTATTCGGGACTACTTTTATCCTTCTAGATCCCAGAGGGGTCAATCGAAGATTTGGGAGACCTAAAACGCTAGTTCGTATCTTTTGCTCCCAATAAAGACCTCGACTTAATGTACCTTACCCTATATTACGCTCTTATTAGTGGTGCATGATTTGATCTAGTTCTTAGGCAGATGCGTTTGCGGCAAAATCTGGTGCAAAATGCTCTAGTAGCGCCTCTGCTATTGGACCCAAGGGTATTTTAAACAGTAAGGTTTGTTTTGTACTGAGTCCCCCATCCACGTTCAGATGCAAGCTCTTCAAGGAGACAGCTGGGGGTAGTCACGTTGCAGCAAACGATGAAGCTAAGGCAGAGTTTATTGCTGCGGAATCGTCCACCCCGTATTTACCTGACCGGGTCTAGAAGTGGCCGCTGCACCGCACACAAAAATCATTTTTTTGCCCAAGCTGATTGAGTTGAAGCCATCGAGTGATCTTAGCCAGTGCCTTGACATTGGCTTGATTACTAACGTTCGTGTAGACAGCAGAAGAGTTCCGCATCCCATCCAGTCTTATGAAGGATAATTTATTGACAGTGAAGTAATTCTGTAGAAAAACAGTTAAGGGATGGTCATAAGTGAAGGATCAGTAGCGAAATCCTGGATAACAGAGGGTGGAAGTGCATGAGAACACTTTTTTGCACGAGGATAGACATGAAACCACTGTTTCCTAGTAGGATCCCGGTGCGGAGAGACTCTGGTCGAGGAACTTACGCTTAGCGAAGCACAACCACCACTAAAACGGAGGGGGAACCGTGTCAAACGCATTGGAAGTAAAACAGCGCAGAAGCCGGCCCTCGACCTCTCACCTTGCTGGGCTGCGACTGATCGTCGGCGTAGACCTTGTCAAGCAGACGAAGCCCTAACTCTGTGCGCAGTTGAGAGATGTATTCGCGCATGAGGCTAGCGTCAGCTAACGAGGGCTTTGCGTACAAATTATTCAGTTCTCGTGGGAAGCCGGGGTCACCTGGAATGTCGAAACGCGCCAGAGCCAAAGTTGTTAGTTCTTTTGACCCCTGAGACTTTGTCGAACACTGTCAAGCACAGTATAGTAGTGTAAGGTGATGGGTATTCTGGATGGAACATAATGCAGGACCCAACTTACTCTTTGTAGTTTTTTCAAACATTCCAAGATGTAGAGGACCAGGTAGACAAGAACACGGTCAGCATCAGTCTAGAAAAGGCACGATGAAACTAAGCTAGGCATTCTAAACACCATCAAAGAGACAATGCTACATGCCTTGAACTCGTAGTTTCGAAAGAAAGTGAGGGGCTTGAAATACAAGAGCGCTTCGTCGATTATGTCTTCCTCAAGATTAGGATCCTGTGGAGCTGGCCCGCGCACTTTTGAGCGCAGTGGCAATATGGCCATATTGCCGACACGCCGTGAGGCAGATGTGAATTTGGAGTGATAAGTTGCCTGAATAAAAAATCAGGAAAAATAATGTTGTGATAAAGAACCTGTACCAGAGAAGAGTAAATATAAATGAGAAAGGAGCCACGCCACATTAGTACAAACGGGAGAAAAAGTGTAGCGCGCAGGATCATCCTACGACTGGGTTAACTCATAAGGTTTGCACAGAATACAAGAACAGAATGCCACAGTAAAATAAGAAAACACTTTATCAGAACAAACAGGAAGCTTAACTAAATCGCATCCAGCACAAAAATCAAACCCATAACCTAAATCAGGCTCGCTAAAAATAGGAACAAAAAGTATCACGCAGAAGCCAGTCGCGATGCAAAACTCATTACTGCACATGGTAATACTTGCACTAGTGATAATACCCATACTACTTTGTGAAGAAAGGCGTCGATCGACCAAAGGCAACCATTTACCATGAGAGGAAGCTCCCCAGCTATCCTGCAATCATACTGCCTGCACTCCCACCATACATTAAAACAACTCAAACGATGATTTCAACGTAAAAATCTGATTGCAGAACCTAAAAAACGTGCCTGATTAGCGCATATCTGCAAATTGTTTGTCATAACCAAAAAGTTCTTAAGTTGGCAACGGGAAGAGTTAAAAATGAATGCAAAGCGCATTGGCGGATTAAAGGT